AGTGGCTACACTTGATAACGGGCTAGCGGACATCATGGCTAATCAAATTATAGACTCATAGAGAATGAGGGTGGAAGGGACCTCAGGAGGTCACATCTAGTCCAACCCCCTGCTCAAAGCAGGACCAGCCCCAACTACAGCATCCAGAGAAGTCTTTGTCTACCCGGTCTTCAAAACCTCCCAGGTTTGAGAGCCTACCGCCTGGGAGGCGGTCCTAGTGTTTCACCACTGTCCTCATATCCAACCTCAACTTCCCTTGCTGCAGCTTGAGCCCATTGCTCCTTGTCCTGTCATCTGCCCCCCACTGAGCATAGCCCAGCTCCATCCTCTTTGCAACACCTTGCAGGGAGGTGAAGGCTGCTATTCAATCACCCTCGGTCTTCTCTTCTGCAGACTAAATCAGCCCAGCTCCCTCAGCCTCTCTTCACCAGTCCTGTCCCCCAGCCCCACAACCATCTCCATTGTCCTCCGCTGGACTCTCCAACATGTCCACATCCGTTCTGTAGTGGGGGGCCCACAACTGGACACAGGACTCCAGATGTGGCCTCCCCAGTGCTGAATAGAGGGGAAGACTCACTTCCCTTGATCTGCTGGCAACACTCCTACCAATGCAGCCCAGGATGCCATCAACCTTGGCTACAAAGGCACACTGTTGACTCATTTTCAGCTTATTGTCCATTGTCACCCCCAGGTCCTTTTCAGTACCCCTGGATTTCTAAGCAGACTATCATGCTACTCCCGGGAGAAGGGCATGCAGTCTTTTTGCCAAAACTGTGCAAGTTATAATGATATTTTTGTTAATGCCCAGGAAATGACCTTACAAGCAGGTTCTGCCCCCTGAAAAATTCAGGCCCATTCACGTGTGAAGCAGTATAATTTATAGGCAAGTAGCACGTGGAAGTAAGAAGTAAGATAAGGCAGTGGAGAGATCCATCCAGATGTTGTCAGTTATTTCATCTTCTCCTTTGAAATGAAAACACAGATAGGTTTCCATGTCTTCGTGCTGGCTGAGCTGCACCCATGACATGCCAGGGTCACAGAAAGGAAGCCTGACCAGCTCTCGGGCCGTATTCAATGTGATGCCCTCTGTCCTGGGGTGAAAGTCGTTCTCTGGGAACTCAGAGCGGATACAGATCTCGCGCTTGAATGCGTCATTTTTTACCTAGTGAGTCAGGGAAGGAAATTGCACACATTGGCCGGGGCTTAAAAATAAACTCACGTGACGCACATGACCCCCCGGCACATTGGAGAAGACTTCTTCTTCCTGGTGATCACAACAACTGCATTAGTCAGCTGGCATCCAGTTTGTTTTGCTGATAATAAAATCGTATACATCCTCTTCCTATTGTGCGCTCTCCCTCCATCTGAGCCGTATTGTAACTATTCTTGCACCAAGATCTGTTGCTCTTGGCTGGAGGCTGGGGCTGAGTTTACGGAAGGAATACTTGGAGCTTAACACATAGCTCATCACTTTTTTTATGGCCTCTTTTCATCTTTTGTTTTTTCCTCAGTTTAGTTTCCTGTTCAGAGGCTTGTGGATGATTTCCTGACCTTGGACTTCACGCCTGGGAGCTGCATTTACACCTAGACAGTCCAGTGTAGTGGATGTCCTGGTTTTGCCAATTAATGTTAAGGCAAAAAAGGAGCAGGATTCAGGACATTTGATGAGCTGATGATGTGGGAAGGGGCCAATGAAGGCACAAGGCCTGATTCTGATCTCACTTATGCCACTATGAGCTATAAGACAGATCATGGAAGAGCTTGTATCGGGGGTTGGCATGGGATCTAGGATTTTGAAAAAGGGGGTGCAGGTGGCGTAATGCATCATCATCACCTATAACACAACTCCTAGTTAAATGGAAAATAGAAGCTCTACTAATCTGCTAGTGGTCTAGGGCTAGATTATTCAGTTTACGATGGGAGCAAAACCAAATATAAATTTGTTGGAATGTGCATTACTTTGCTACATCCTATCTTATGCATACAAAACCCACCACAAACTAGGCAAGAGTCATCAAAAGATTTTGTTTCATTAGTCCTGCAGTCATTAGAAATGAGATGGACATCTCTTTTTCCGATTCATAAAAGAAAGTCAAGCCTTTTTGATCAGCTGGGCTTCACTGAAAGTTATCTTCACATCTGATTTAATATTTTTAGCTAGAGTTAAAAACAGGCTGAAATATGGGCTGCATCACTAGGCAGCAGAATTGCAGAAGGAAGAATAGCTTCATTAGTTGAAGACAAAGGCCATTAAAAAGGAGAGAGGGTCATTAACACCTATGGAAGGAAGACTGTAAAAGGAATCGGGTCGATTCTGGGCCTGAGCGACCAGTACAAGGAAGATCCCCAAACTCAGTGAATTTTGATCAAAGAGGACCTAAGAGCCGGTGGCCTGATCTTGCTTTGGAAGGAAGCGTACCCCATTCATGGATGCTATCTGACCTAGCAAGGGCAGAGGACAGAGGAGGTTCAGTGGACTGAAGAAGCAGGGTCTCAACCCTCCGGCTAGTAAAATGGAGGCCACCATCTTGCTGGTATCAGCAAGGACATGACAAAACCTTTGGGTAGGTTTTTGACCTACATACTGGCGTTAGCTTCAACCAGAGAGCAAATGCAGAGCCGTATGCACCTATCACCCTCCTTCCCACAACTGAAAAGTGTAAGGTGGGCAGCAATAGCCCAGACAATGTCCCAAGTCCATTGAACTTCACTGAATGGCACTCCCTGCCCCGCTAAGCTGTCTGCAGGTGAGGACACCGTGTCCCCCGAGCAGCAGCTGGTTTGGCGTGGGTCTGATTTTGGTCCATTCGTGCACTGCAGTGACTGAACGTTTCCCTTCAGTGAAAGTTGCAGCTGGTCCCTGGGACTTTTTGGCAGAACAGGTCTCCCTCAGGCACCATGAGAACATGCAGCACTTGCCCAGGCACTTTGCAGCCACATGCTGCAATAGGTCCAATTCACCAAAAAAGGGAATAGATTTGTCACAAATCCTTTCACTAGTTTGGTCTGGTTTTTCAGCATCACTGACATCCAAACGCATGAGCACACATTACATTTGGGCAAAAGGTGACAGCCTCAGAAGACCCTACAGTGGCTCTATGCCCCATTTTCCCATCTCACTGGCTTTCTGCTGATGCTCCAACATGCAAGTCCAAATGGCCTTCACTGTAGGCTGTGGCAGTCAGAGGCTGGTTTAGTATCCGTAAGCAACCCCCCTTCATAGTTTCATAGTTTCATAGATTTAGGGTCGGAA